CTCCGGCGGGCTGCTGAGTCACGAGAACTAAAAGTAACAGAATCGTGCGAAAAGTGACGCCGTGAGAAATCGATCTCATAAATTATGAGATCGATTTCTACTCGTCCATATTATGTAGTGCAAGTTTTGTCTACTCCATATCCTATGTTCCTATTATCTGCAGGACAAAAATGCTAGCCTCATAAAATTTAACTTTCTGAACATAATGGAAGTTATAGAAGCCTGATTTGCAAGGCTTTCTAGTCTGGCGTTGATTTCTTTTAGGACAATAATGTGTTATGACTTTTTTTTTTTGGTCAGTGTGCCAAAAAATGTCGTGAAACCATTATTAAGTGATGTTGCTATGCTTAAAATTTGTTTTGGCGATAGTATATTGTTATGCAAAGAATAATTATAATTCTTCTTTATTTTACCGCCAGATGAGAAACAGCTCAAGAATCAAATCTCAAAACTCCAGGAGTATCGCAAAAATGGAATAACTGTTCTGAGAGCTGCCCGTCTCTACTCGCAGCTGAAACAGAGACGAGAATCCTCAAAGATACAACGGCACCTTTTATCAGATGTTCTTAATCATGTTAAGGTAGCTCACAGGCTGTGGTTTTTTAGGCTCTTTTTTTCTTCTTTTGCGTTTCTCTTTTGTTGCCTGCAGTTTGATAGGGTAGCCATGAACCAATAATAAATCTAAGACAGGGGTAGTCATGTTGCCTGCAGTTTGATAGGGTAGCCATGAACCAATAATAAGTCTAAGACAGGGGTAGTCAGAGTTACTCTTTGTGGTAAATTGTCAAAATACGCGTAATGCCTAACCAGGCTGCTATGTAGACATACAGTGGAAACCTGATATAACAGGGATAGTTGGACCAGAGAAAAGGTCCTGTTATATCCGATCCCTGTTAAATCAGAAATGCATGAGAAGTAAGCATTTGTGGAATAATCCATTTGTGTTTATTCATGGGTAGTTTCACTTGCCACAAGTACCCACGAACAGGGGTTTTGGCCTTGTGGCAGGACTGCACATGACACACTACACGTGCGTGTAGCTAGGCTTAAGGCTAGATCGAAGTCTTGCAGCACACTGCAGCCCTCTCTCGCTTCACCCGCTACATGTGGTTGTTGCGTGTGCTTGCTCCATCACTGCATTACTCTCTCTCTCTCTCTCTCTCTCTCTCTCTCTCTCTCTCTCTCTCTCTCTCTCTCTCTCTCTCTCTTTCTCTCTCTCTCTCTCTCTTTTTTTCTCTCTCTCTCTCTCTTACTTTTTACTCTTTGTTAACGGGTCTTTGTCCCTGTAATAACCGGTTGGGCTCTGATGAGGCCCTGTTATTGCCGATAACTTTTAATAGAGACAAAGGGTAGGAAAAAACGGGAATTGAAAAAGTCCCTGTTATTACCGGATCCCTGTTATTACCGGGCCTGTTATATATGGTTTCTCCTGTATTTACGCATCTTTTAAAATTCATTTTAACAGCCGTGATTTTCAGGTTTTTCGTACACCTGGACTTGACTTCTTTCCTCTCTCATAATGTTGGCATAAAAATAAAACAACGTTCATGGCTCTGATGTCTGCTTTGGTTTATTGAAGCCTATCTTGACAGTTTTCTTTCATTATTAGTCCTCAAGTCTTCTCATCCCTCCTAGTGGGCGGCTGGCGGTTGGTGTTTTTTCTGGTGTGGTTTGCTCCTTCTTTTATATGTTGTTGTTGTTGTTGTTATCGATCCAGCAACAGCTGGGCTCTCGCCCTTCTGTCCAATGACATGTAGTGATAAGTGCAGGTTTGCTGCAGTTGCTGTAATGTTCCATAAAATGTGTTGTCAATGTTAGGTCTCGGAGGGAGAAGGGTAACTCTGATGATCTTTTCTATAAAACCTCTATCATCCTTATCTTTCCTCCTCCCTTTTTTTGTGTTTATTACTGTCTTGTAACATCTCTGATCTGCGACTTTTATATAACCATATTGTAGTGCAATTGCCGTGAGATGCCTACTACTAATACAAAATAATACATCCCTTCCAGGACGAATCGTCATGTCAGTCATGGCTGGCGCGACAAGCAGTGCTGGAGGGCACTCAGAAAGCTGACAAACTGGCCCTGCCCAACCCAAGTAAGTGACCAGGGGCGGAATTCGAAATCAATTAGTCCACTAATCACGTACTTTGGTGTGAATCAAAATTTCTTGCTTCTCCGCTCTCTTACAAGGTTAACAGAAACTGTACGGTCTCTTGTGAAATGAAGAAAAGACATCCTCAAATGTTTAATCATTTTTTAAAAAATTACTCAAAAATCATTTTGGCTAGTGTATTTTAATGTATTATACTTGAGTTCAACTAGGCAATTCTCAATGTCCGGATCGGATTGGGGAAGAACTTTACTTTTTTTTTTTTAACTTAAGTTCGAGAATTCATATTAATATTTCTCACGGAAGTAAAATACATGTAACCTTACTATCCAAATAAGCTTTGAAGTAGTCTCTGCGTTTATCTGTAAAATACCTTGCTCTTTTTGGAAAAGACAAAATCATAGAACCTGTGTTTACTAATCCCTTTTAGTTAGAACTGTTCTATATAATATTATTTTGTTGTGAAGATATCATGTTGCTGTTGTTGTTGTTGTTAGCGATCCAATAGCATCTGAGCGTTAACTCTTCTTCTGCATGATGCCATTCAGTAATAGCTGTATGTCTGTTCATGAGTTTTTATACACAGTTCACTGCACGGCTGGGTACAGGTTATTTGATCTTAAAACGTTAAAATATTAAAAATTTGGTGTAGATATATAACTTCAGTCTAAATCAACTTTCATGAAAAATTTTAATAATTCAATTTTGTTCTACACTACAATTTTCCACAAAGGCCAATGGCCTTCATAAAGTCCAAAATTCTGTTGGGACCAACGACGGAAAAAATGTCTTGCAATTTTTTTGCGTTTACAGTATTTCCTTCGGATCTCTTCAAAGTCTAGATATTCGGTTAAAATGTGTCTAATGGTAAAATCTGTGTCGCATCCGACACAGAACGGCTTATCATCTCCCTGAAGGAGGTATTTGTGTGTCAGGGCCATGTGTCCGATACGCAATCGAGTAAAAATGCTGGAGAGGTCCGAAGGATTTCACGGTCCCAGTTTGGATTTAATATTAAAGAGTTTGTTTCTCGTCTGTTTTTTCCCAGTGGCTCTCCCACAAACTGGAGGGGTACTTTTTAACTTTATTTTAAAAGTTAGTCTGTGGGATGAGTTGATCTTTTTTTTTCACTCCCCCAGTGACATCATTTCATGTGTATTGGACTGTGTAATTAGAATATTGCTTCACTCCTCAGTCCGTAAGTCGGCACCACGGCTGAACATCGAAGGGCTACAAGGCTATGAGAAACTCAATGAAGCAGAAAAAGAGGTAGATCTAATTCGCTTCACTTTCCTGATATTCAACAAAATCATTGTTCCCATTAATCAATCAATGTGAGAATTAAGGTGCTCTGAAGTGTAAAGTTATAGAAAGAAAGTGAGAAACACTGATTTTTTACAAGAGAAAGGACAGTTTGAAGATACTTTGGTGTCCTCTAACTAGGTAGATTAAGAAGGTGCATATGAAACATTCTCGAAAGCTCGCCTTAGAATTGATGCTTCAGCATAAACTGTATAACAATCAGTTGTTATGCTTTTTTGTTGTGTAAATTTCCAAGTTGAAATTACAATCAGATGCAACCGATGTCCGAACCAAATAGTATAGTAATTATTTGTTCTTTTCTGTATTTACTTAAAAAGCCTTCTTTCATGCAAGTTTTTAATACTATGCTAACATTTCAGGAATGAATCATGTAAGAAAAACATTTGTTTTGACTTTGCTTTCAGTATATTAATTAGTAAAAAGAACTGTGTAATAGTAGATAGCAAGGGCTCTATGGTGAACATTTTCAGTGGAAGGAAAGTGTGGGCATTTTTTAGGTCCTTTCTGAAAAGTTGATTAAAAAAATATCCCTTAGCCTGCAGGCAGTAATTTGTCATGTTTAATTACCTACTAAGGTCTTGTAAGTCTCGTCTCATTTCTTTGTCCTCTAGATGTGCGCAGAGGTACGACTGGTCCCTCAGGCTTACCTGGACTTTTCACGTCTGCTAATTGCCGAGTGCAACAAACATGGCTTTCTGCGTCTGGCGCAGGCTCGAACTCTCATCAAAATAGATGTCAACAAGACGAGACGTCTGTACGACTTCCTCCTAGTTCAAGGACTTATAAACAAAGACCCCATGTGATGGGAGCTTCTTCCGTGTGTTTGTGTTTCTTTAGGCGGATGGGTATGTGTGTTAGAAGGTTTCGCTTTTGTAGGCATGAATTAGGCTGTGTGTAATGAGTTTTGTTAGCTTGAACGTGTGTGTGTGTGTGTGTGTGTGTGTGTGTGTGTGTGTGTGTGTGTGTGTGAATATAATATACCTATTTATGTGTATGTTTGCACTACCTGTAAGAAACTGAAAGTTTTCAAAATTATGACAGCTTTCATTTTCTTTTGTGATAAAGACAGGTGAAAGGGCTAATAGAGTTTGCCTTTATTGAATAAAAATATATTGTGCAATAAAAAATTACAATGGTACCTCACAATTCGTTCCTGAATTCTATGATGACTGTCCTCATTCATGTCTAAAGTCCCTTTTTGTATGGGCGCATAGATGGCTGTTCAGGCCAGTGCTGGATCAGCAAATGCAGGTGCTAGGAAGGAAAAAATGACTTTTGTTTTATGTTTAAGCAAACATTTTACAAATTTACAGCCCTTCTGCACAGTAGGTCATATAAGTGCTTACAAAATGGAAAGAGGAGAGATAAAGACGATAGTTGTTTTATAGGAAAGGAGGAGCAAACCACATCAGAGCACCCGCCAACCACTCACACAAAGAAACTGTTGGGAATGGTCAGGGTTTACGATGATATAATGAGTCACGACGCGGGCAGGTATTTGGTTTGCGAGTTTCAGAATCAGGGTCGTCGGCACGGAGTTATAATTTTGTGATGGGCGAGCGGTTGACAGTCCTTCAATAGTCAACAGCCCTCAATGTCAAAAGTAGTAGTACAGGTCCGGGCTTCTACACCGAAGTCACAAGCATGCGACGCGATTCCAAGATTTCAACAAGCATGATTTTGATTTTTTTTTGGGAGGGGAGGGGCGGGATTGTTTGTTTGGTGGAGGGGGTTTTGTGTGTGTGGGGGGGAGGGGGGGGGAGGGGGGCAGGTTAGGGCGTTCGCGACTACGTAATGTCAAATTAGTGCGCGGGACATATTAATTAAACATTTTTAGTTTGGTAAGAATTAATTTTGAATTTTGCCAGGTGGTTGCCAAAGCCTACTCTTTTCTTATCGATTAGAGATTGTTTGCCCTTATCTGAGAAGGTTGGTTATTAGATCTTACCCTATGATCAGGGGTGTGGTTGAAAGACGGCAGCAAGAAGAAGCCAAGGAGTAGCAGTACTACAACGACGAATAGGAAAAACTGGACGCAAGCAATCAATAACTTTGTTTCTGAAAACCTACTTTTGCTGGCAAATCACCTTTTCTAATCCTATATATATATGTAAAGTTTGGATTTTTGGATAGCCATGAAATCATGACTCTGCATATTACAGAATAGCATGGGGGAGCAAGAAGCGAGGTCACTTATAACAGTCCACATTTGACGAAATGGGAACACTCTGCCGTGAAATTACATTGCATGCAAAACATTTTAAAAACTTGCCTTGGTACGACGTGATGCAATTTTACCGCGGCGAATTTTGGACAGACGAAGAAACTAGCAAGCTGGCGCTTTCTGGTGGGAACTGGAAGATGAATAGATCTACAAAACAAAACCAAACCCGAACAAAACGCCGCAAATTTTTGGCCTCCCTAATTGAAAAAAAACGGGGGGGGGGGGGGACATTGCCGAGTGAACAAGCTAAAAATATTATTATTAGGTCTAATATTCATGATCTATTACTCTTTTGGCACCATCTCAACCCGACCCCCTCTCAAGCGTGACCCGAAAACTGTGTCGCGCTATTGAGTGGTTGCACATGGAGGGCGCCACTACTTTTTTTTTTTTGGGGGGGGGAGGGGGGTTGTTGATGTTTTTTTTATAAGTGTTTTACGGCATTCGCAACTGCATAAAGTCATATGAGCAAGCGGGACACATTAAACATTTTTAATGTGGTAGGAATTTTGTTGAGTTTTTTATTTTTGCCCGGATGGCGGCCGAAGTCTTCTCTTATCGATTTGGGACCAGAAAGGGATCTTTAACTTGTGCAGCTTGCACACCGGACCTCCCGAGATTTTTCGCCCTTATCAGAGAAGGCAAGGTGTTAGATCTTTCCTAACATAAGACTGGAAGACAGCAGTAAAGGGAACCAAGGAGGAGCAGTCGAAAAAATTAGGAGTCCAGAGGAGGGGGCAAAGGGGGTGAGAGGGTTGAGGGGAAAGGGGGGGGGGGGCAGAAAGTGAAGACGAAGACATACGACATAACATTGTTAGAGAGCATGAAAAGAGATGAAAGGAGAAAATTTTAGAGTAGATTATTAATTTCCTTTGCTGGCCGGATTCGAAACCGGGGTCTATTGAATGAGAGGCGAACACCTTAACTTCCAGGCCACGAGAGCTTCCCCCCCCCCCCCACCGGTTCCTTCTTCTTTATTTTCCCTCAGTCCATCTTACTTTTTCCAGCACTAAATGACCATAGCTGCGTCGATGTGCTTATCTTCTCTCAAACTCAAACAAACAAACCCTTAAACTTAAACGCGTCGGTACTCTTTAGAAATTAAAGTACTCTCAAAACTTAAGAATGTGTGTGGTTGGCGAGTGCAGCTGTGGTACAGTTTGCTCCTTCTCTCTTATCAAACAGCTATATTGTCGTTGTCTGTTCTTTTTGTTTCCTTTCTATGTAGTAAGACCTCTAATCTTTGTCTTTGGCATTTTTGTTACCTGTTAATGTCAAGCGCATTTATACTTTGAGTGTCGTAAAACTTGTACATGTACCAAAACTAAACGTAAGTAAACTGATCCACGGGGCTCTCTTGGTCCAGAAGCACGGTATGGTGTTTGCCTCTCATCCAACAGGTCATTCGAAACCTGACAGCGACGAAAACAATTTCCTCTCTAGAACATTCTCCTCGCAGGACTATTTCACCTTCTGACCTGTTCTCTGGCCCTGTTCTGTCATCTTCTTTCGTCTCCACTTTCTTCCCTACATCTAGGTTCCTCTTTTTTCACCATTATTCCTGACTCGTTCTACTGTTACTCCTGGCTCTTCCTTCCCTTACCTCTGCAACTTCCTGTCACACCCTTGATCGTATGGTAGGTAAGATCTAACACCTAACCTTCTGGGTTAGGGGCGAGAAATCTCGGAGGTCCCTTAGTTGCTCAAGTTAAAGATCCTTTGGTGGCCCTAAAATCGATAGGAGTAGGCTTCGGCCGCCTTTCGGGCAAAATTCAAAGATAGTTCCTACTAAGGGGCTGTTCAAATATAATCTTACACCTTTTTGGGGACTTTTTTGACCCCCCC